TCAATGGCAACCTAAATCAGGCTTATGAATACCGCAAAACTTATACAAACCATCATTCCAAATTCCAAAAATAGAGTTATAATTATACCTAAATATAAACAGTTTGTGAATATATATATATATATATATATATATATATATATATATATATATATATATATATATATATATATATTTATATATATACAGTTTCTTTCAGGCATCTCTTATATATATATATATATATATATATATATATATATATATATATATATATATATATATATATATATATATTGTATTTATTTATAAAGGCCATTTAACGTGCAATCTTTTTTTAAGTTTGTATTTTGTAAAACATCTTTGAAGTAATGTCGGCATTGTATACCCGTGTTCAGAGTAAAATAAAAATGTAGAAGTTGGCTCTGAAAACAACAACGACTACATCAGTGTATTGTCTAGGCTTTATCTCACGTTCTGATCAGCGCCAGTGAGCTGTGACGACACAGCACGCGCCATCGCAACACACCTTCGCGCGACAAATTGACCTAATTAATTGGTTTAATTGCCTGGCACAACTGACTTTTTTGTCTCTGCTCCTGGGCTTCTCTCGACCCAACGGGTGTCAGACACCGACCGGCACCCGCGCCCTAACCAGAGGAGAGCTTTTCTTCCAAGTACCCACCAGCACCCCCACCCCCACCGTCCAGTTCCAACAGACCCACTCACGAGCGTTCCGGCTGGAGACATACGTGACGTCTAATTCATTAATTATGTAGACTGAGGAGAAGACGCCGTTCGATTCTTCAACTAGGCAACACTGTGGCGAAATCTGCAGGATCTTAGTACGTTCCACATTGCACAGTCACAGCCTCCAGGTTATATCAAATTATATATATATATATATATATATATATATATATATATATATATATATATATATATATATATATATATAAAGCGGAAAGACAGAAAGAGCGGGCTGCAGTCAAACATGCTAACTTGATGTAGAATACACACAACACAAAGTCGTGATGAGTCTATTTCGACAAAGTGTTTAAGAATAAAACATGAAACATGAACCTATTAACTTCTTGTATGAAATGTGTGATTGATGTTTTTTCTTTTAATCTCCGTGAGTGTGACAGTTGTTTTACTTACATGATTTAATGCTTTGTCTAAATACGTGATTATGTGAGTTGTATACATATTTGTTATATATGTTGTCTACATATATTATTGTATGAGTTTTCTACTTGCATGATTGTTTAACTTGACGACTCACAAAATTGTGTATATTGTATACATATACGATTGTGTTTTTATTCTGTGTTCTATATCGACTAACATGATTGTGTACCCTGGTTTCATAAATGATTGTGTGCCCTGGTTTCATGATTGTGTAAGTTTTCTACATAGATGATTGTGTGAGTTTTCTACATACATGAATGTATGACTTGAACACATACACACTGAGAAATAATTGAATGAAAAAATCGTATTGTCTTAACATTTTTTAATTTTTTTTTGTTGAAAAAAAGCACAAATTGCAGGATCTATAAACTGTTTAACACATAAAACACAAACACACAAGTTTTTAACCTTTTTTTGAGATGTGTTTAATTACGGCAGTGAATTTATATAACCTCAAAAAACTCGGCAGCTTTTGTTTTTGACAACACAAAAAAATTTATGTCCCATTTTTTTTTCTTTTCTCAGATTCAGTTTATAACATATTCATAGAAGTAAAATGGGTATAAGAAATAAAATAATTCATTTTAATAAGTTAAAAACCATTACAGGCAATGTGAAACAAACTCTTATAAACAATCATTGGTGAGATAATGTTGCTTTTAAATACATAAAATGGATTTCTTCATTTGAATCATTTTGCAAATTGCAAAAAAATAATAGATTAGTATGTCTTATAAACATATTTACACATCATGCTGCAGTATGTAGGTATGAGCATAGAACATAATTTTTATGGAACACCTCCACACTTTAAAAAAATAGGGGGAAAAATGGAATGGAAAAGTAAAACATGAAATGTGTTTTACGTCATCAAAATATGCATTATGCGTCATCAATATGTTTAATGTTATCGAACTTTAAACACCATTCATAAGTTGTATGTTGCACTGAGTACAATATATTTTTGGTTAGATTGATTGTCTACATAATATGTATGTATGGGTGTTATGACATCCATGTTATTTTTCTGATAGGTAAATTCTGCATTTGTTGATTTTAAAGAACCCCCTCCCGCCTTTTTTAGGTCAATTTTAATAAAGAACGTATTGATTGATAAATGAATTTAATTAATTTTAATTTTGATAAGAATCTTTTGTTTTACATAATTTAAAAAAAAATGTGTTAAAATATATTTTTTTATACTAGTTAATAATTGCATTTTTAATATAAAAAATAATTAACCTATAAAAATGTAAATTGATTAAAACTAAGCCAATATTTCCGAGGGAATCAGAATCTAAGTGTAACAATAGTTTCACCTACAACCAGAAAAAGACGTAGCCTACACACTGCCACACTCAAAACCAATTTTTTTTCTATCTTTGAGGAGTGAGAAAGGAGTAGAGGTGGGGGGGGGGGAGATGGGAGTGGGGCGGGGGGAGGAGATGCAAGTTCAGTCAATTCCACGGCGAGCAATGAAATATTTATAAGCCACTTCTTGGCGTGCTGAGTGACTTCCGGGGCAGGAGCAGGGGACGGTTTGATGGGGGGGGGGGGGGGTCCAAGTGCCAGACACCATTTGGGTTCTTTGGTGGGTGAGGGGGGTTGGGTGGGAAAAAAGTGACTAGGTGAAGATTTGTTGTCAGTTAAAATTATTCATTTAAACATTTCTAATATTTGCTTCACGGAATGTTGTGTATCTTTTATTCAATATTTCTTTTAGGATATTCTAAAGATATTCTAGAGGTAGTCTAAATAAAATGGGAAAATAAAATTAAATGTAACTGCAATTATTTATTTTTTAAAATGCGATCTTTTATAAATGTGTACCTGCGTGAACCACCTGACCCTCTCACTTGGGACCTTTCTTAGAAGAAGTAAGGTAAAAAAAAATCGGCGAAATTGCTTTGACAGCTTCATACATAAACAATGAGCCCGTGCCATTTGTGTAGTGGTGGTGAGAAATACTAATTAACATTCATGCCGTAATCACGTGATTGGCACCCGAAAATCCCCATCCATCCCACTTTTCACTATCCCACCCCCACTGAATTCAGTTTTTGCCCCGTGGAAAAAAAGAGATAAAAATAGTAATTTTAAAAATCCCGAATAAAATGTAGTATATTTTTTTTATTCAATTCAACTTAATGTAAAATTTCTTTTTACAATTCACCTATTTGTTAACAGGAAATAACAGTTTATATTTACAATCGCTTTACTCATGAAAAAAAATATTTTTACTCTGAGAAAATTCCTCGCAAACATTCTTTTGTTTATATATATTGCAGAATCGCACATCACACAATTAACATAAAATAATAAATTAAAAACATTAAAAAAGGGCTCAAATCCATCCTTTAAAAAAAATATATTGAAAACAATTACAGGAAGGAATGTGAATTTAAAAATATTTAACATTAAAGGGCTGTGTAGATTTATCCAACGCAGAACGACGAAGAACAAAAAATTTCAAACAAATTAACAAATTAGACAATGCCTTTTGTTTACGTAACCATGACAACCGTGAATGTTTTTAGTGTGGGAGTTTTGTGTTAAAAACTGCATAGGTTGTATGTTTTTTTCAGGGCAGACGTCGCTTTTCCCTGTTGATACTAAGTTTTAAAAAAATTTGGAAAAAAAAAAACAGACATATTGCAATGCTGATTAACACACCTACGGCCATATTCCAACAACTGCATGTTTAAAAGAAAATTCTTCCTTAAATTCTGATGCCGAGTTTTGGATCTCTGGCATAACCAGAAATCCACACTATTTATTGTGTCTCCTTTTTTCATAGAAATACATCCAGAACTGACAATTCAATACGTTGTGTGTTGTTATTTTTTGTCAGTTTTTTTTTCGCCTTTTGTTTATTTCATGCACATAACATCAGAACTGATGTAATTAATTGTAGTTTTTTGGAATCAGTTTTGTCACAAAGCATGGACCGTTGCTAGGCAACGACGAAACGAGCACATTTTTTGGTAGTGTTTTAGGCCAAGGAAAAAAAATAATTCTGGCGTTGCGCTGTTGTGCATTAGGTTTGTCATTTTATTATGGGGGCCATTGCACAAAGAGAATCTTCGATCTTTGATGATGTAGTTTACTATTGGTGACTTTTTTTCCGTCCTTCCACATTCATGTTTATTTTATTTTTATTTGGTGTCCATTCCTACCAATCCATGTTTTTTTTTGTTTATTTGTCCATTCCGATATCAAGAGACAGATAGATGGGGGGGGGGGGGGGGTATGGAGGGATACATAATGCAAAAATCTTGAAAATAAAAAAAAAACATCTTTAAAAATCTAGTTTAACAAATGGGGCACACCTCACTTTTCTATGTCCCATCATAGATTTGTTAAAAAATGGAAAAACTGAACGGGGATTAATTTTCTTATTATTGTTGGGAGGAGATTGAATTCCGAAATTCCGAATAGCGAGCAAATCGTCGGCAAATATCAGCAGAAGCGCCGATGGAAAATTCTGAATCCAATTCACTTCCGGTTGGAAAAAAAGGGAGGGAAAGAGAATCTTTGTCGTAGAATTCGTCGATGAAATTGTGGTGTGGAGGTCCCCCTTCGTAGACAGTGTTAGGCCGCGCCATTAATGGGTAGATGAGGACAGGCTAATGTGCTGTTGGAACCTTCATGTGAAATGGCATGGATACGAAGGGTAAATAGTGAGTCTTGTTTCGTTTATTGCAGATCGCGGCTCCGTATTTTTTTTAGAGCCGTTACACATTTTGTGTTTCGTTTATGAAGATGACGGCTTCGTATTTTTTAAGAGCCGTTACACGTTTTGTGTATTAAAAGTTTTTTTGTTTATTTTTTTTTTTTTTTGTGTTAAAATTTGTTTTCTAGTGGAGTTTCCCGATGGACAGAAATAGATCATTGTTTACCACGTCCTGCCGTTTATAAGGTAAGGAGACGGCGACGCCAGGGCGTTGCCGTTGACGGCGCCGGTGGCGTAGCCCATGCTGTGGTGGAGTCCGTGGTGGGAGAGGCTGGGCTGGTTCAGCGCGTGGGAGGTGAGGGTGGCGGTGAGGTCGGGGGAGGGGGTGCTGAGGAAGTTGTCGTGGTGGTGGTGGGATAGAGTGTTCTTGTTCACCGCGCAGGAGGAGTGGAGCACCGAGTGGGGGGAGCCGACCCCGCCCCCAAGATGATGCTGACTGTGTCCGATTAGGGAGGAGGTCGACGAGGCAGACGACGCCGACGACGATCCTGACGACCCGTTGCCGTTGTTCCCGCCATCCGAGGTAGATTTCCCGTCGCGGATGAGCACGGGTACGGAGACTTTCCTCGGGGAGGAGGAGGATGACGAGGACGAGGTGTTGGAGCCCGGGTTGTTCTTGTGGTTGGACGAGTTGTGTCCGGTTCCGGACTCCTTCTGGCTGGACGATTCCATCTTTTCCCGGTCCTTCTGCTGGCGCTTGTGCTTGTAGCGGTGGTTCTGGAACCAGATCTTGACCTGGGTCGGGGTCAGCCCGATGCTCATGGCCATCTGTTCACGTTCAGGTGCTGATAGATACTTCTGTGTTTTGAATCGTCTTTCAAGTTCATAAACCTAAGTTGTCAAGAGCAAAAAAAAAAAAAGAAAAATTAGCGCACTGATATAAATAAAGAAAACATGGAAAATAACGGTTGAGGAAGAGGCAAAGACAGCTGGTCTCACATGGGCACAGATTAAGAGAGCAGCCCAAAACCGAGTCCGCTAAAGATGTGTAGTTGCAGCCATTTTCTCTCCGGGGGCCAAAAGGAATGATGATGATGATGATGATATAAATAAATAAGTAAATAAATCATTTAACCCTTTGGGGTAGTTGTGGCAATAGATTTGTGTGGTGTGTCTAGGGTTAAGTGTCGGACTGCGGTGACCACCCTCTCCATGCCTAACCTGATCCCTCTATCTACGTGGCTTGCCATGGTCACGATCGGTGAAGGCCGATGACCTTTACTGAAGGACCAAACGCCCAGTGATGCCGTGTTAGCATCGGTTGTTTTAATTTTAAACTCGAGACTTTTCGGTTTAGAAAATATTAGCTTTACCTACACGACCACGCTGAACCCCATCTGAACTTTTTGATAAACCAGTTGTATTTCTAATATGTGAAATAAATCACATTAAAATACCCATTGTATTATAAATAATTTGCAAACAATTGTTTTCTGAATTTTATTTTAAAACGTTTTTTTATGTTTAAATGAAAATATCAATTTTACACAGTGTATTATAAATTAAAAAAACCATAATCAACAGGAACATATTTCATAAATATTGGGTTTTTTTTTTCGGAAACAGGTCATTATTACAAAGAAAAGCAAATTTTTTTTTAAATTGTGATTTTTACAATTGTTCTGTGGTAGCCTACTACTCAGTCGATTTCTCTAGATATAAAACAACATTCAATCCTTCGACTTTCGCACTTCAAACCAGTCATTGGCCATCAAAGAAAGGAAAAACAAAGCGTCTAATTTGTGTAATGTGATGGATACTTTTTTCTTTTTTTTTTTTTAATAATCAGAATAAACGACCAACACGCGCAAATCACGTTTTTTTTTTATTTATTTTTTTATTTCCTTTATTGCATTATTAAAACGCGAATCGGAAAAAAAAATAATTTTCAAAATATCTAACAGAACGCGTAAAACTAACAGGAAAGTGGGCAGGTTGTAAGGGCAATTTTACGCCTAATTTCCATCGCCTATCATTAATTTGGTCTCTGATGGTTCAGTATTAGAAAATAAATGCGGCCTATTATCTGCGCGCGTAATTTTTTTCATTCACCATATGTGCAATGAGGCCTGGCGAAGCATATCCCTAGGTCTGTAATAGGCTCATAAACCAACACGTGCAATGTGTGTGTGGGGAGGGGGGCGACACGCCCCATAATTGCCGCAGTGGGGGAAGGGTGGGGGGTTGGGATATATGCGTGTATTGATTTCACTGCACGGTGTAATAATATCTAGTGGGTCATAATATGTTGTTGGACTGATGTTTCCATGTCATGCAGCATAGGTTGTTGGTCTGATGTGCTTGTGGCATACAACATAGGTTGTTGGTCCGATGTGACTATGACATATAGCTTATATGCCTGGGTCAATCTGCCCTGACATACCGCATATGTTGTTGGGTCTATGTATCCAGGACATAACGCATATGTTGTTTGGTATATGTATCCATGACATATCGCACATGTTGTTGGGTCTATGTATGCATGACATATCGCATATGTTGCTGGGTCTATGTATGCATGACATATCGCATTAGGCGTCCATGTCACATGGCAATGACTGTTGGATCACTGGACGATTGTAGCTATGACCTACAACACACTCGCTTCCTTGTCATACAGCAAAATTTGTTGGACTCGCATGCACATGTCATTCAACAAAAGAAAAACTTGTAACGCTAAAGTGCCCATGACGAAAATATATTTTTGATGTATTTACTTTGTAAATTGATTTGTATAATTTACACAACAGTGTAACTTCTAGTGTCATATAAAATTCATTGTATAGTGTACAGATTAATGTGACTGTGTAACGTCAGTTATCTTGTACATTGCATAGTGTAGTGTACACAGCAATGTAATCATGATCTCCCCACTACCATGCAATTAAACATTCATAGCTCATTAACTCCACGAAAGGATTGTAATTTCCCGCAATCATTAATTAGAACTTCCGATAAACAAAATAAAAACAGCTACAATAAGTCACTTCAGAGTTTCCCCATTGCTATTTTTAACAATATCTTTTCACTACTCTAGTCACGTGGGACAACAACGCGTTATTTATAGCTGATGTGACGTCAGACGGTTGAATGAAACAAACAGGAAATATGGTCATTGTTTGAATGGACGGAAGACAACTACACAGAGTCGGCGTGATGAATAGAATGAGTAATAGTACCTCAGGGAGTTGGTATTGCAATGTTGGTTAATGGAGAAGATATTGTCAAACGTGGATTGGATAGGAAAGATAGAGATCTTTTATTTTAGGTAAACAATAGAACGAATGAGTCGGTGTTCAAGTTCTGTTATAATAAAAAGAACAAACTCATAACTGATGTATACGAGAAAGTTGTACTCTCTGATATTTGTTTTGTACATGACCATGATGACACATCGTAAATAATTCTGATTAATTTAATTAAACGTAATTAGTCAAATCGGAATGGAGTTACCGGGATCCTAACCTGAACGTCTAGAGTTGAGATCCCGGGTTTGAGTCTGTAGAACGTTCCTGAGTCCACCCAGCTTTGATGGGTACCTGACTCACGTTAGGTAAAGTAAAGAGGGTTGGCGTAGTTCTGACTACATTATCCTTTTATATGCTGAAGTCATAGGATTAGGTGAATTCTACTTCAACTACACCAGGGACCGCCAGGTTCGAAAATGTAACTTAATTTTAAATAAGTGAAAAAATGAAAAAACCCTCACCTGTCCTTGTGAGAAAAGAACCCTCCGCTTCCGCCTCTGGGCTATGGAGAAGCCGGCCATGCCGCCCTTGGTGGGGTCCCCCAGGTGCCCCATGCCCAGGGCGGGGTTGATGCCCGAGGACATCCCGCCCATGCCCCCCATGGAGGACGCCATACAAGAGCTGGGGCTCATGCCAAACCTGGAGACTGTGGAGCAGAAGAAAACAGACTTAAGTTTTTAAATCGTACACCGGAATTGTTTTCAACATAGTCTGGGTAACATAAACATACGTGGTATCGACATAATCATAAGAATCATATACATATGTGTTTTTTAACATAAACATAAACATCATAAACATTCGCGTTTTAGACATAAACATAAGTAACAGAGACATATGTGTTATTGAACATAAACATAAACATCATACACATACGTGTTTTAGACATAAACATAAACATCATAAACATACGTGATATTTAAAATAAACATAAGTAACAGAGACATATGTGTTATTTAACATAAACATTAATATCAGAAACAAACACATAAGTATCGGAACACAAACATAAATATCAGAAACAAACACATAAGTATCGGAACACAAACATAAATATCAGAAACAAACACATAAGTATCGGAACACATAAACATAGCATTTGTATTATAATATTGATCGGAGAACATACACGTTTGATTAGCATAACAATATCAAGAAAATTATAATTATACAAACATTCACACAAACGAACTGCAATATTGTTCAACAAAAGCTAAATGAACATTGACATAAATACGCTTAATCGAATGTTCATAATTTTGGCACATACAGATGTAGCGAGCCAGCGTTGTACTTTCTTGTATATCATTTTGTTCAGTTAATTATAATTACCTTATTTAATATGTTAATGGCCTAATCTTCTATAATGCAGCTTTAAATCCTGATGTTTTAATCCTTCGCATGTTGATTAAAATAAAGAAGTACAAAGCAATAAAACGTTATCTTCTAAACTTCATGCGTTATTTTTGCGCAATAAAAGTGGACTCTAATAATAAACAGCCATCCATACCCCCCCCCCCCCCCCCCCCGCCCCCTGTTAGCCAACACGCCTAACACATGATTTTATTTTTGCAACATCTTGTAAACAGCTAATTGCTTAAACATTTTCAGCCAGTTACGACGATTCGTTATAGACCACACTGGTTTCGCTTTACGATGCGTACTAAGCAATGCCTCTGTTTTGGTTGGGGTTTTATTTGGACCACGGTCATATCAACACAATCGTAAACAATAAGTTTTTAAATTATATAAACTATCAGATGTTGATTTTAAAAATGCAAGTTATACTGTGTAAAAGACTCTCAGTGATGGCATTAGTTTGTTTTAAGACATGTGAATGGAGAAATGTGCATGTATCTAATTAAATTAAGCCTTTTTTTTTTAATTAGTGTGACTTCACTTTGATTGTTGAGGCATATGCGAGTAATTTTTTTCCCGCACACACATTTTACATGTACCAATTTAATCAAAGTACACATCTGGGCTGAATAAACTCAGGGAAAATGGCACTAACTCACATCGGGTACCCGTTAGCGCTGGGTGTTATTCAAACTCCAGCCTAGTGCCGAGATATCTTGTAGTTTCCCAGGGATTTGAACCCAGGCCAACAGAATTGTTCCCTGACATACCAACATACTAAACCATCCCTTATAAGTAAGGCGTAGAATTCCCTTTCAAGACGTGGCGTAGAATCCCCCTTTAAAGCAGAGCGTAGAATCCCCCTTAAAAGCAGGGAGTAAAATCCCCCTAAAAAACAGGGCGTAGAAAATCCCCCCTTGAAAGCAGGGCGAAATGCTAAATATACGTAGAATCTGTTTCTTCCCATTTCTAAAATAATTCCAGTTCCCCCAAAGCAATCGATTGATTTCTCACTATTCTGTCGCGACTGAATACATCGATCTCCAATCTATTTTATATGTTAATTTCCACATTTCTGGGGCCATTAATAATCAATTGAAACTACTTTTTTTTTCTTTTATTTAAACTGTTTTCCCATAAACGTGGTTTTTTTTTTCAAAAATCTCATCGGGGTTCATGTAAAGAAAAAAATCTATAACCGAAGCCTCATAAAAGGAAAGTAACAAAGAGAATAAAAACAAAAGTGCTGTGTTGGGAAACAAGAAAACAAAGAGAGCTGAACGGAGCGGACGTAATTTGCTGAAGTCTTTGCGGTGGTCGGGTTTCTTTCCTTATTTTCTTTAAAGTGTTTTTTATATGTTAGAAATTTTAACCCGATCCACGTTTATTTTAATGATAACAATAAGTTTTTAACATTTTATTTTTGTTATAAGTTCATTTACAGAATTGATCAATATTTCACACGTTTGTTTAAGGAATAGTAAAAGTCGTATTTTTAGTCAAAGATTATACATAAATATATTTGGTATGCCATGCTGATGGCAGAAAAAAATAAAACGACCGTAAAAAAATTTAATTTAAAACACTGAACTTAATATATCTTTTTTTAGTTAAAGACTTTCCCATAAAGAAAAAACATTTTTTTTTTGGTTACATACATTTGGGGAAAACCCCAATTCTATTTATAAAAATCACACTGAAACACCTCACACACAAAAAAGTGTCCGCTTAATAATTCTTTTCAGCTGTTAATTTTAATGAGGTGCCAATGTAATGAAGTGCCCAAGTGAAACATTTTATTCCCTCTCCACACTAAAAAAATACAAAAAGTTTTTTTTTTCTACTTCAATATAAAATAACTTTCACTAGTTTAAGTTTATATATAAAAAGAAACCTCAAATACGTGTTGTTATTTATATGGAGAGGGTCGAAATATTTACTCTATAAAGACTCGAGTTCTTAAGGGCAGATTATAAATGGGCAGGTTGTCGCCCATTCAAGACGAAATCCACCGAAGGGACTATGGCACCCCGTGTATGCCGTCAACGGTGAAAAAAGTCAAAGGGGGTAGTATGGAAACCCGGCGCGGCCATTGATGATAATAGTTGGAGATTTACTTTAGAATTGCTCCATATCTCAAATATTTTCATGACGTTTCTTTGTTCGCATTCAGCGGCTACGCGTAATAGTTTTTTAATAGACCGCAGCACCTCGACAGCGTAGCGTTGCCGTAAATTACCGATTAGGTGAAGGGGGGTGTCAGAGGGTGGGGGGGGGGGGTGGTAGTAGGCGGATGGAATTGAAAGAAGGGAGCGTGTTTGGGGGGTAGGGGGGTAGAGAATGGGGAAACGGTGCGAACGAGGAAAAACGAGTGCACGGTGTTATTTTGTTCAGTACTTTCTCCAGTTACCACAGCGTGCGGTACATTCACGAGTCTCCGACATTCACGAGTCTCCGACATTCACAAGTCTACAACATTCACGAGTCTCCTACAGACCCTAGGCTCGACAGCGTGGAGGTACATTCACGAGTCTCCAGAGTCTCCTACATTCACGAGTCTCCTACATTCACGAGTCTCAGACATTCACGAGTCTCCTACATTCACGAGTCTCAGACATTCACGAGTCTCCGACATTCACGAGTCTCCGACATTCACAAGTCTCCGACATTCACGAGTCTCAGACATTCACGAGTCTCCGACATTCACGAGTCTCCGACATTCACAAGTCTCCGACATTCACAAGTCTCCGACATTCGCGAGTCTCCGACGTTCACGAGTCTCCGACATTCACAAGTCTCCGACATTCACGAGTCTCCAACATTCACGAGTCTCCGACATTCACAAGTCTCCGACATTCACAAGTCTCCGACATTCACGAGTCTCCAACGTTCACGAGTCTCCGACATTCACAAGTCTCCGACATTCACGAGTCTCCGACATTCACGAGTCTCTGACATTCACGAGTCTCCGACATTCACAAGTCTCCGACATTCACGAGTCTCCGACAGACCCCAAGCCCGAATATTTTGATGTACATTCACGAGTTTTTCTACCGTTCTGTTAATACAGCTATAATGGCCTGTTTTGCTACTTCTTGTACTTAACCAATTGTGTCCGTATGTTTTTTAATTAACCATTTACCACACTATATATACAGGCATATATATATATATATATATATATATATATATATATATATATATATATATATATATATATATATATATATATATATATATACATAATTCATGTATACAAAACAATGAAAGAAAAGTGATCATCTCGATAAAGACAAAAACATGCCGAAACTGTCTGTAAGCGATTGATATTTTGAAGACAATTTCTATGGCTTTAAGAAAAGCTAAGATATTATTAATTCTAAAGGAACATAGTTAACTAAACTAATAGCTCATTTCATTTAATTTAAATAGGTAAAATAAGTGATACATGAGAAATACGTTTATACGTTTTAATCATAATTTCCCTTTTCACCGGCGGAGTAACTTCCCATTGCGACAACACCATCGTATCGTTGTATGTTTACATATTTCATTTCCGTAAACAAAAACTTATCAGCGTTAATTTTCGATTGTTGTCTTTCTGTGACTCTGACAGCTGACCAACGACTGACCAATGACTGACCAGCAACCGGCACCGGCTCTACCCCCGGCTTCAGCTGGGCGTGTCCCTCCGTGCGCCCTGGCAATTACCGTGAAAGAAAATCATTACCAGAACCCAAGTGGCTGCGGCGCAACTCTGGCACCACACGAGAAGCAGACGATTGGCTGGTTGGAGGCAGACGTTGTGAGACCGCGAACCCTGTTGTTATTTATTTTATTTGTCCTTGTTTTTTTTTTTTTTTTTTTTTTTTTTTTTTTTTTTTTTTTTTTTTTTTTTTTTTTTTAAATCTGTAAATCTCGTTTTACTAATAGTTAATGGCCGAGCTCCTACATTGTCGTCTAATTGAAGCTGTATTTAAAATAAAGGACGGATGATGTCTACGAAATGCCTTAATCAGTGCAATAACTATAGGATTGGATGCGTTGTGTCGTATTTCAATGGAATACCTTGTTTTTCAGAATCTTTGGTTGAAAATGACCGCATGACTAGGATATGGGATTTGAATAAATCCTGCGTTTAGTTTACTCAAACCGAGGTATAAGGTTGTATTTTGGTTAAAGGTTTGGGTCATGCACTCATGATTACAATTTTAAAATATAGCTCTCTTGACCCTCTTGGCGTATTACTATAACAGTTAGGTTTAGAGTTTGATTCGGGGGTTGCTT